ACTCATAGACCAAGATGACCTTGAACCCCTGATCCTTCTGCTTCCATAAGCAAAGTTCTGTGATTACAGGCATGACCTAACCTGCCCAGCTCTCCACAATAAAATCCATAAGCAACAAGGGTATGTTCATTCATAAACTCCTGAACACACAGCAGAATTTAGTATTCTATTAACCAAATATATGTCAAGAGACCTCCAATTATAAAATGAAGCTGAAATGTTCTTCCTAACTGATCAAATCACACCATCCTACCCAGTATCTGAATAATCATCAAATAATTCCAGTCAGAAATTACCTTCATCAAATTGATCTTAATGTTTCTTAACTGTGAAATGCTCAATTCGATTTGTCAGGCCCTTAACAGGACCTCCATTTTCATAATGATTCTGACGTAAGTCCTTGTCACTTACAGCTTTCTTAAATACCTACTCTTATGTTCTTACCAGAACTACATATTCAATGCTTGAAAACTGGGGTAAAAGCTCAGCAGGCTGATTCAATTCAGATATCCCAGCATATGTAGGTGGAAACTGCAAACAGAGAAGAAAAAAAAAGTTACCAAATTATTGCCAGAAATAAAGTTTTAAACTCAAAAATTGTTTCCTCATCATTTAAATTTTTGTCTGTATTTGTTGTTGTTTGTTTTTGAGACAGGGTCTTCTATGCAACCCTGGCTGTCCTGGAACTCACTATGTAGACCAGGCTGGTCTCATTTAATTATTAAAAAGATATTTTCAGGTTGGTGAGATGACTTAGTGGCTAAGTGCTCTTGCTTCTAACCCTGACTACCTGAGTTTGACCCCTGGAGTCCATATGGTATAAGTAGAAAACTAAATCCCTCAAGTTTCCTCTGACCTACACATGCTCAGCCTTGCACATGCACACCCACCAACACACAACCCATACATGGAATGAAAAGAAGGATTGTTGTGTTATAACCATTATATCCTTTTTACATAAGCATTCCCCTACATGACCAGCACTACAGCATTAGCATCTGTAGATGTCCTTACCTGATTCCTTTGGTAACAAAAGTTGCAAGCCCAGAGTTTTGCTCGATAATCCACTTGACTGTTTTAAGAAAAAACAGATTAGTTAGGCAATGTTTCAGTTCAATTTTACAAGGACCTTAATTTAAATAAAATTAATTTCATTCAAAAACATGGAGTAAAATTGATGATCAAAGTGATTTGCTTTTTATTCCTTGGGGCATGAGGGGTTGAGCCCAGGGCCTCACACATTAGACAAACATTTACCACTAAACTAAACTGTACCTTGAGAACAACTTTTTGTGGCTTTGTCTCGTTTTGTTTTGAGACAAATCTTCCTAAAACATCCAGGCTGACCTAGAACCCACAACCCCTCAAGTCTTTAGAATTGTAGGCTTCTACTACCACACCCAGCTGAAAATACTACTTAAGTAGCAATAATAAAGATTAAAGGGCCAGCAAGATGGCTCACTGGGTCAAAGTGCTTGCCAAGAAAGCCTAACAACCTCAGTTTAATATCCAGAGCCATGTTAGGAGGAGAGAACTAACTTCCAAAAGTTGTTCTCTGACCTCCATACAATATCGCCACACATGCATGCACACAAACACAAATTATTTGTTTTAATTACACAAACAAGAAAGGAGAGATATTTCTAGAAAAAGTGTTTAGAACAGCTATTTAAAGCAGAGCCTTCTGTTTGGAGCCCACTACCTATGATGGGACACCTCACACAGCCTTGAGGCAGGGGGAGGGGCTTGAACCTGACCCTACTAAACATACCTCCCCATGGGAGGCCTTTCCTTCTTGTAGGAGGAAATAGGGGGTAGGCTGAGAGGGGAAGGCTGAAGGGGCAGGAGGAAGGAAGAGGGGGATCTTTGATTGGTATGTAAAACGCATAAAAGATTTTAATAAAAAAAAAAGAATTCAATAAAGCAGAGCCTTCCTGGGTACGCACGGTAGTACATTCTTGCAATCCCAACACTTGGGAGGCAGGTGCAGGAGGACTGTATGCAGCACGTTCGAGGCTAGTCTAGTCACATAACAAGTTCCAGGCCAGCAGGGGCTACACAGTGAGACTGTCTCACAAAACATAAATCAACAACAACAACGAAGATAATAACAAAGAAAACCAAAGGAGATCCTTCAAACTTGAAGAGCAGCCTGAAGGAAAGGAAGCCAATGACAGGAGAACACAGGCAGAATGCTATATGAAGAATTAACAAACACTTGCAATGTGCCAGGTGTAAGTTTAGTTAGTATCCTCAAGGCTCAGACAGAGAAAAGCTGGGAAGATGTGACATCGATAGGAAAGACTGGGTAAGCCTATAATCCCAGCATCAGCAAACACCAAGTAAAAGTCAGAGAATCCACAGCGCTCTGGAGGTAGAACTGACTGCATTCACTAACAAACTAGATGGGAGGAAAGGCAGAAGAAAGAGAAATTTAAAAAATGTTTCCTGAGATCTTGCCTTAGGAATAATAGCACCTATTGAATACCACACCAACTCATTTATGACTTTTCCAAGTCATAAGATAGGTTCATACACAGCCAGTACCATTAATAGGATATAATACTTTTATAATGACATTTGTATCTGGTCTCTTCACTTTAATAATTCATTATAACTAGAATACTAAAACTTAAGCTCTTGGGATTCCTAGACTACAACCATAAATAGAAAAAGCAGAATTCTTTACATAAATGAATAAGAAACCATTTATTTTCCTTTTCTTTTTGTTGAGATGATGTCATGTAGCCCAGCTTGGTTTTGAATCTGCTATGCAGCTGAAAATAATCTTGAATTTCTGATTGCCCTGCCTCTACTCTCTGAGTGCTGAGATCTCAGGTGTGTGCTGGTTTATGTGAAGCAGGGGACTGACCCCAGGACTTTGTGTGTGCTAGGTAAGTACTCTACCAACTGAGCTAACCCCTCAGCACAAATTACAGTTCTGAAGTATATTACCACAGTACTTCCTTCCATGTATTTTGATTACCATAAAGGATTCAAAACTGCTCGGCAAGTTGTCCTGCTGCACAGGACAGGCTCGTATTGAATGGGTGGTAAGTCGGGTCTCTCCTTTAGAGGTGTAAACAGGGCTGCCACCGGAACAACCATTCTTGTAGCTTCCAGCCGACTAGATGGCCAAACATTCCAACTGAACCGGACCCCATCTCGTTCTTCATTTTGTTGGATGAATTCCAAATAGGTTGTCATTGTAGTGCTTGATTCTTATCTCTGTCTGAAACATAAATTAAAAGATATTTAAAAATCCAGAAGCCTCATAAGAAATTCAAAGTAAATATATTTTCCTACCTTTGGCAATATTAACACACTAAAAATTATGACCAAACAAAAACTTAATAACTCCACTCATAATCCATAATGGCTCTACAAAGCCCAATGCTCATGAGGCTCAGTAAGAAGTAGTGATTCTAGCTAACTTAATTCACTCTCTTAAGACTACTGACAAGGTGAGATGGCTCATTGGGGCACTTGCTGCCAAGTCTGATGACCAAATGTGATCCCTGGTACTCACACGGTACAAAGAGAGAACTAAGTTGTTCTCTGACCTCCAATGTGTGCTGTGCACATGCACGCACTATGCACACAACCAACCACATGCAGTTTGTCACACACAAAAGAAACAAATATAATAAAATATTAAACATTAAAGACTAGGACCAATACATGTTATTTATTTAAATGTGTATACAGGGAAAAGGACAAAAAAGGGGTAGGAACCTACACATTATGATTCCAATCATCAACTTTGTAAGTTATATAATTCTAATAAACATACAAAATCATAAAATTCTAAAATACACATGGTTTTTAATTCAAAAAGGACAAGCTCTCATCTGACTTGCTAGAAGAGAGCATTTAATAGTATTTCTGCTAACAAGAAAGCTTGTCCTGAAACTAGGTAGAGAATACCAGTGGCATGACAAAGTGCCTGTTAAGTGGTATCCCCAGGATTTACACACCACAGAGCCCCTCGTAGAAACTAAATCCTAACTTGTGAAAGCATGATGAGATATAAAATGTGAACAGAATATTTTAAACTCACAGGCAGGTTTAGGCTTTCTGGTCATCATTTGTCACCTCACTGTTTTGAAAGAGTCTCACTACATAATCCAGGTTATCCTGGAAACCCCCATCCCCAGCTGCAGCCTCCCGAGTGCTGGGATTACAAGTGTGTGTCATCACGACCAGGTGTCTTACCACTTTCTAACTGGCTGGCTATGGTGCTGGCTTCCCCATCTAGAGTACATTCCTGCCTGAGGCTCTCCAACTGCAAAGAGTGGTTAGTCATGAACGGAGGCCAAAGAACTTAAAAGCACAAAAATGTAGAATTCCAAGTACTAGTGTAACAAAAATGAAAGAAATAAGGTTAAAAGAACTGAGGCTGGAGAGATGGCAATAGTTAAGAAGCCTCACTGCCCTTTGCAGAGGACCTTGGTTTAGTTTCCAGCACCCACATGGCAGCTCACAAACATCTCTAACTCCAGTTCCAGGGGCTCTGATTCTTTCTTCTGGCCCCCGAGGACACCAGGCACACAAGTAATGCACAAACACAGATGCAGGCGAAGTACTCATACATATTAAAAAAATAGCACTGGCTATTGGGTTCAATTCCCGGCAACCACAGGGCAGCTTACTACCAGATTCTATCAGGGATCACCCACTTCTGGCATCTGAGGGCAACAGGCACACAAGTGGTACACAGACATTCACACAGGCAAAACACCCACACACATAAAACAAAATACTTTTCAATTAAGTCTAAAAACAGAATTAAGAATAGAACTGAAAATCATAGACCTACATTGTCAGAAGAGAGAATATGGATGTAAAATTGCTGAGAAGGATGCGGGAAAAGAAACTGATTTTAAATGAATGGGATTGTTGGCCTTATTTTATTTTTGGTTATGAGCTTAGCCTTTAACGGCTGAGCCATCTCTCCAGCCCTGTTGGCCTTATTTTAAGACTCAGGAAACTATATGCCTTTTCTGCTATGTGAGAACACACTGCAAAGTACCGTGTATGCACCAGAAAGCAGGCCTTCACCAGACACCCAATATAGCATCTTGATTTGGGATTTCTTCTGAACCTTAGAAGTAAGTTTCTAGTCAATAAAAAATGCTGATAAGGTTTTCGATGTTGTCATACCTAGCATTAGTTCTGTAAGCCATCCCTCACTGATGAATGAAGTTGCTGGGAACCACCAGGCTTGAGTGACTTTCCATCTGTTGCTATCCTATGTGCTAGGCTCTCTCCTTGGAAAGAGAAGCAATAAACACATCTGGTAAAACCGGCATGGTGCTGCATGCTTGCCACCCCAGTACTAGGGGAGGCTGAGACAGGAGGACTGCTTTAACCTGGGCTACAGGTTGACACAGTGAGACCTTGTCTCAAAGAAACAAAATTTAAAGTAATAGGAGAAGAGAAACTGAGCAGAGATCATAAGACAATGGTTACATGAACAAAAATCTTCAGTTGCTTCCTCTCCCCCTCCTCTCTGTTCCAATGCAGACTACACATAGTAATCTTTCTGTTTGTTTGTTTAAGGGATATAAAAGTAAACATGTTTTCCTTGGTTTCTCAACAATGTTTAAAAGTATAAGGAGGTCCTGAGAACCACTGCCTAAGCTCCCTCTCAATGAGCAAGATTAAAAGACTCAGAAGGCATTCACACTTAAGCAAGAGCCAGGTTTAAGTTTCTACAACAGGTTGTGGACTGGATTTTTTTTTTAAAGCATATTATATCTAGAATACTTTTTGAAAAGGTTTACTTATTTTTATTTTATGTGCATTGTTGTTTTGTCTACATGTATGTCTGTGTAAGGGTGTCTGATTGCCTGGAACTCGAGTTATAAACAGTTATGTTCTGCCACATGAGTGCTGGGAATTAAACCCTGATCCTCTGGAAGAGCAACCAATGCTCTTAATGGCTGAGACATCTCTCTAGCCTATGGAGTGCATTCTAACTCTACACGCTTGTATTTTATTATGATACACGAAATGTCACCTGAGTGATATTTGAGCACAATTTCCCTTTTCCTCAGTTTTTTTCTCACCCTCTCTGCTCTAAAATTATATTCACTCACTGATATCCATTGTATTTCTCAATATTCTCACCTTCCAGCAATCTTCTGAAGCAAGCTGCACCTGTTCTTACTTTGTCCAGTTACATGGTCACATACAATACTCTCTTACTTTCAAAAGTAGTGTCTGCTCAAGCTTAAAATCACAAATCCCAGCACAGAAGTCCTTTCACAAACTTCCTTAATGTGATGACATTAGTTGGCAAGCACTTTATTACCTAGTATTAACATTAGCCTAAATATATAAAACCAGCCAGGCATGTTGGCACACAACTTTAATCCTAGCACTCAGGAGGCAGAGGCAGGGGGATCTCTTCTCAGTTCCAAGCTGCCATAGTGAGACCCTCTTTAAAACACACACACACACACACACACACACACACATATTCTGAAATATCGTAAGAACACAGATTTAACAAACTCAGCTTTTTTTAAAGTGATATAAGATACAAAAGACTATTCTAAAGAAATGACACATTTTTCAATAATTTATAGCAGTGAAAACTATTTTAATAATTTCTCCTGGTAGACCCAAGGCATCATGTCACTTTAATGTAGCACAGCAAATATTTTCCTAAAGTATCTTGAAAGGCTTTCCCTAGTATTGTTTTTCTCAGTTCCAATTTTAACCTCTTTATGCATTTCTAATTGAAAAACATACAAATTGTAAATAAATTGAAGTTCCTTAGTTATGTGTTACCATTGTACCTCTATACATTTCAGTTGTAAAATTTTCTCTTATATGTATTTATTTCATTTTTTTGTGTATGGGTGTTTTGCCTGATGTGTGTCTGTATACCATGTGTGTGCAGTGCCTGTGGAGACCAGAAGAGGGCAGTGGATCCCCTAGGAATGGAGTTAGAAATGGTTGTAAGCCAGTAGGTGAGCAGCTGTGTGTGTGTGTGTGTGTGTGTGTGTGTGTGTGTGTGTGTGTGTGTGTGT